CACAAAGAACTAAACATGCTGGGTCAGGGGACCCAGGACCCTGACAGTGTGAGCTGGTTATTGAGACGTCATAAACATAACAGGTTCATTTCAAGTCTCATGTTCGTCATTAACCATCAGTTTGACTGGCAAATAATATTACACGACTCACTCGGAGCAAAACAAATGCATTCCTTAAAAAAATTCAAAAAATTCAAAATCTCAGTTTGACCAGCAGAAAATCAATAAAGTGTATTTATCACTGATCATTCCCCATCTCAGCCTTCTGTTTTTCCCTTTCTCAGCCATATTTGTTTGGAGTTGTTTAATGTTGGGTGATATTCGCTGAAGTAAAGGACAAAGTAAAGGAAAGAAGTGCACACTATCCGGCTATGGGACTAATGAACACAGTCAAATCCATTATTTATCTCTGATGTTTCGTATCAAAGGGAATACAGTATGTTGCCGTTGCTGAGGAAAAAAACACTTTATGGTGTCATTACTCTGTGGTTATTAATTGTATTAAAATATTAACTATTGCATTGACACTAATGGTCAAAGCCACAATTATATTTTTGAATTAAAGCGGCAAATTAAGTTCAGACATTTATTTCAGCTGCGCGGCATCTGTCTCTGTTTAGACCAACAAGTTGGAGGATGACAAGTTGTCTGTGGAGGCTCTGCTGTTTGGTGTCTACGTATTTAATGTCTTCATTGCTTAATGTCTTTAGCCAGTGTTTCTAATTAGAAAACCAATAACCCATGTCTGCTGTTAATCCTGTGATTGTAAGGATGCTGCAAAAAAATCTGCCTCCCACTTAGTTGGCTTTTGTTTTTTGGAGTTCCCAAATTGTGTCTGTTGTCTTTTTAAACCGTTATCTCTCGCATGCTTCGTTAGTGGTTTCAGATATTTATGTAGCCTTCATTTTTTTTCCATTTAACCCTCACCATGACATTTCCCAGCTGTAACCCAACTTTTACCAAACGTAACAATTTTTATTGTCTGTCACATGGACACATTGTAACCACAGTTACAATCAGAGATCACAAATCACTACATCCTGTCAGAGTGGGTAATCGCAAATCATTTTTCTCTCTTTTCACGTCGCCACTTAAACAACATTGTATTTTCTATCTGGCTGGCTTTTCAAGAACCACAGGTAATAATGTTGTAACCAATACTGCGATTTTTACCGCTTATATCCAGGTGGGATGGTCCTGAATCCCTCCTACTTTGGCACCACGGGCCACTCCAACACAATGATCCATGAGATGGGACACATATTTGGACTGTACCATGTCTTCAAGGGCGTGAGTGAACGGGACTCCTGTGATGATCCGTGTCAGGTAGGACTTTTAAATCCTGCTGTTTGTGATAATGCTAATTTATGGAATTATTTCTGATTGGAAAAATCTACATAAGTAATAAACTAATAATAGCATCTTTAAATGTGTTTGTTGAGTCTGTGCTTCCACGGGCCCCGCTAGTTTAGAAAATTATTCTCGTGAAGGTTGAAGACGAGACAGAACATCTTCAACCGGTCTTTTACTCGCTAGCGAGGGAAGGCTAGTCAGAACCAGGCCCGTGGAGCTTAACGCTCCTCACCTGTCTCCAGCCCAACTCCTTCACAGAGCAGCTTTCCTTGTAGCCTTTTATTCCCATGACAGTTACAGTTTACACAACACAAGCACCTCCCCTCGTAAACCCCCCTATGGTTCTAAAAGACAAGGCACTATGTATGTGTATGTGTGAGCACCTGTATGCATGTGCAAGAACGTGTGTGTGTGTGAGAATGTGTGTGTCATGGGGGTGCGTTTGTGTGACCTCCTGCTCACCAAAAGGATCATAAAAGCAGGAAGCGTACCACACAACAAACAGATCTTTCAGATAGGATGTGCCTATAATAAAACCTTCTCAGCTCCCCCAGCACCAGAGCAGCTGGAGAGGAGGTCAGAGATGAAGGAATGTCTTTGATCCTGCTGCTCTTACCATGCATACCATACATATTCTGTGCAGGAGACCACCCCATCCATGGAGACGGGTGATCTGTGTGCTGACACTGCCCCAACACCTAAATCCAAAGCCTGCCATGACCCCGGAGCCGTCAACGACACATGTGGCGTCACCACCTACCTGAACACTCCTTACAGCAATTACATGAGTTACACAGGTGAAGCAGAAATGCTCTTACTGTAATGCTCAAAAGAAATTATCTCAGGTGTTACAATGTATATGTAATATATACAGTAATGTTATTAACAGTATGGCAGTTAAAAGTGCATTACTGAGAATTACCATCCACTCTGAAGTAAAGTATAATCAATCAATCAATCAATCAACGTGAGTGTGTTTTACATAGAACTGAGAAATTATGTTCGCTAAGGTTGAAACAAGGTTGAAACAAGGTTGAAACAAGGTTGAAACAATTATGTTATGGTTTAGTCATTTCTGTCCATATTCTCAAGCTGTTACCACCCAGTGTATTTAAAAATCCAACAAAAGCTTATTAACCTGTTACGCCCCCGGTGGTTTTCTCATCTCTGTGATCTCCTCCCTTTGCGCCCATCTTCTGGTGCGTGGGTGCTTAAGAGGTTAAGGACTGGCATGTGTAATTGCGTCTCCTCTGATGTAATTATTTCTAGCCATGTGTTTAGTACTTTGGTTATTTAAAGGCTAGTGTGTTAATTTGACCCTCAAAGATTTACTGGATTCTTCTGTCTTCACAGATGATAACTGCACCAACCATTTCACTCCAAACCAAGTGGCCAGGATGCACTGCTATCTAGACTTGGTCTACCAGAAGTGGCTGATGGACCGTCAACCTGCCCCCATCCCACTGGCCCCCATAGTGACTGACCAGAGCGCAGATTCTGTCTCGATTTATTGGCTCCCACCTATCAGGGGGTCACTTTACCAAAGGTATGATTGCATGAGTTCTTTTGTTTCTATCCATTCAAAGCTGTTTTTAACCATCCATACATGTCTGGTTGTCCAAGAGGCAGCGTAAATCCTGGGCAGGTCTCTTGCAGGGTTAAAACTATTAACAAAGAACTGCAATTTTCATCACTTGTGCACATAAATCACTCTATGAACACTCCAATTTATAAAATGTGCATAATTTAACTGCATTAGTGAGCCATGAGCACATTGCTTCCACCGGACAAGTCTCTTTATATGTCATGTATGGTGATTAAAAATGTTCTGGATGCAATCAAAACCAGGCATTGGAGTTATATTTGATTACTCTTTCCAGTAATTGTTTTATTGGTCTTTTTTATTTTGTATTCACCACTGCACTGAGAGCATCTGGACGAAAACACCTGTGGAGAAATTGGAATAAACAACTCACAAGTGTGAAGTGTATTATGGAGTTCTCAGCTGGTGGTATCACCAGATGTGGGCAAAAGAAAGCTGGCATTTCAGCCTTGGAGAGTTTGAAATTTCATACGCCTTGTTGACTTACTGCAGTGCATGTAGGTACTAGTGTGACGGTGCCTGAAATAACCTCCTCCACAGGTCAAACTAGTGGCCACTTTGTGTTTGCGAACTATGTTTAACCCTTTAAAACCGGTCAGAGCGGCACGCTCTGTTTTGCGTAACTA